ATAATTTGTCTATATTTTCGCGTGTACGAAAATTTGTTATTTTGATTAAACGAAATAAATTAGCACATGTTGGAGTGAGATACAATTTTGAAATAAATGTGTCTATCAGTTTTAAAAAAAAAATGCGTAGTTGAGGTTACATTCTTTTTCAATCAGATTGCTACCAAATGAAATTCTCATTGATCACTTCGTTGTTTTCACTATATACAGTTTAGGCGATGACGAGGTAATTCTCTTCTATGATAAACATTTTCTTGGATACAGCGCAAACAGGTCATGTTTAGTTTATATTAGTGATATATAAGTTGTTTGTTGGATTTGGAGTCCGATAATGCCTCATCTGTAGAGAAATAGTAGAGCCCCCTTGCTTAAATAGATAAGGATTAGGAACAATATCATCCGAGCTGAACACGCGGCGATAACTCCTATAATGTGGCATATATGACAGTCAAATGAAAATAAACATGGACTGAATTGTTGACCACTCCCAAGAAAGATACATAGATGTTTATTCCAAACAAACAAAATATATAGATGTTTATTCCAAAAAAAAAAAGTTAGTCTTTACAACACACAAAATATATATAAACAAAAATATACAAATGGAAAAGGGGTCGAAAATAGTTACGATTAGCAATTAATCCAGCCCCCCCCCAATCACACTCTGACTTGGTGCTGTTTGCATATGTGTAATATTAACATTCTAACATTATACCCTATGATGTGTGTGAGTTTATTTGGAATCACAGACGTAATTTTGGCCTCAATATTACACGGATCAAGAAATTCTAAGGTATCTAGACAAAAATTAGTTTGAAACGTTACCCCGCACAGCATATCATGGTAATCGTTTTCAAATCTTTAACTCAGTGTACTTTAATTTCAATTCCGACTCGTTGTCTTTTACAACTCACAGTCCCTTGTATAGAAAACATCGAGTTGTCTATCATGTACGTAATTTCAAAATAGAATATTAAACAACTACTTAATACTTAATCAGTTTACTGTAAAGTTACTTGTAATTCAAGTATTTAAGTAATATATTCTATCGTCACTTCAATTTTGTAGAACGAGCTTCCTTCGAAATTGTGTCTTTGTTTAACTTCTAATATTTTCAAACAAAGTTATTGATGTTTCAGTGTAAGCCCCGACTTTGTATTTACGTTATTTTGTTCAACTAGCTTTTAAGTTTCAGAATAGCAAGAAATAACATAAATAGAATTAATAGTATGTATTAACCGTGACCTGAATTCGGAAGTGTCGCTTTAAAATTGGGAATATTTATCCCTTGGGACTGGTCCATCGGACACCAGTGTCTACGTTTTTATTAGTTTTATTCCAATTATTATTTTAATCTGTGAGATTGGCCGTATATCATCTATATAGTGTAAAGGGACATCAACTGCATTTTTTTTTACTTTTTTAATCTACTTTTTAATCCAAAATAGTACTGATTCTGAACAAAATTGCCTTTGTGTGATACCAACTTGGACTTAGTAAATACATAGTGATATGCCATGTAATAAAACATATTTTTTTGCAAATAGCAAAAATAAATTTGTACGACTATTCTATCAATGTGATGTTTGCTAATGCTTAGCATGGTCTTGTGTTTGTTCATTCGGTATTTTAAATACCATGTTGACTTAATGTTGCATGGCAAAAAAAAATATAAAAATAAAAACGACAGGTTATATTTCCTTTACCATATAATATACACGCGTGAATGTGCATCATCGTCCGTACATTGTATTTCGTTCAAATATTTTTTTAATGACAAACCCATTATTTGGTTTATTCGGTATTTGAAATCAGTCAGTGGACGTCCGAATCGTGGAAGCAGTAACACTGACCATGATGATTCGGCATTGACATGTCGCGTTGTGCCACAGTTGTAAAATCTGGATACTTTAAATATCGACAATCGTATGATAATCACATTTATACAGTTCTGTAGTGTACAAGATAGTGAAATATACATCATATTATTCGCCCAAATGCGCGTCATGGTGTATTCCTCAAAGTTGTGTGTTTACACTGAAAACAATATTTGAATCGATGCAAATTACTATGTAATAATTAGCATAATTTCACCACACACGTGATCATATCATTTAATTACACAGATGTTGCGTTAATATATTCGTAAATTCGTCTTAATTCTTGTAAATAGTTTCGTTGATGTTTATCAGAATCAGTATCCCTCAACATGCACATCGGTGAATGCAGCCGCTTGCTATGGGTCCACTCACTCACTCACTGTACGGATTCCGTTGATGCAGGCGACGCGCTTTTTGTTCATTTTCTCCATCGAAGTGTCAATACCTGCCTATTCGGGAATATTCCTAGGATGTTTCCCAATAAATGAAAACAATGAAATGTAACAAAAAATGATGATTTTTCGTAAATTCGTTAAACTCTTCTACAGCGACAATCCAAATATACGTAAATATTTAGTACACGTCAGCGGAGTGGTCCAGTCTAATGGTGATCGCCGACTACATACCTTTTCAATGTTAATGTGCATAATCGTAATCACAAAAGTCCAGTCATAGGGATGCAGGTTTGTGCATGTAAATACAACAAATAATTCAATCGCTAGCCCTGTTACACATTAGTCTGTTGATAGCAATCCGAAATGCCTACGCGTTAGGTGCAAACAGTATATGCGTTACAATCAATGGGGCAGCTGAGTGCTCTAACCGTTCTCCGCTGTTACATCAAATGAACACGTACATATAATGGAAACAGAAACACACCGTAATGCAACACAGACACGATATCGTCTTTTTTTTAGATTCAGCTCTGCAAAAAAAAAAAAAAAAAAAAAAACACACACACACACGCTTTTATGAATATGGAAATGCACCATTTACGCTTAAAGATAGGTCTAGACTGGGGCGACAGATTCTTATCTAAAAATAGATCCGACCTTTATACAGCATTGAGTGTACCCCCCCCCCTTGATGGCCGATGTAGAACAGGGACTTGGAGACGATGTAAATTTACATAATGTAATAACACTGCGATTTGTAATATTACATTTTTTCTCGAAGTTACAATAATTTTTTGGAAAATTACGAACTCTCCCGCTTCTACAAACAAATTTCAATATGTTTTTATAATAATCAGCGTTATTTTCCTTCAATACATAATTTCACGTTAAAAAAATTACGTTTTTATTACGTGACGCGCTTGTGAATTTGGACTTCCGATTACACAAGCCACCGAGACCACTAGCGGCTAGACTAACGAATGCCCCTATCGTATCGCTCAGTGTCATTTTCCCACGTTCAGTCAGTTGACTGCTAATTCGAGTAAGTAGCACCTCCCCCTTTCAGTGCGATTGGATTATTCAAGTAATGTTATATAACGTAAATGGGCCCCTATCGCCCGACCCTATCGAAGCCGTCTGTTTTGTCCAGGGTGTAAAACATACCATTATGTTGTCTTTGTTTACAGGCCGATAACAGACTCGGTCATTCACAAGTACAAATTTGAAGGCCGTGAAAAACAACAAGTCTAATGACGGCCAATCAATACAAGATTGTAGTTAAACTGCCCGTAGGGAGGACATTTGACACCGCCAGGGCAGTTGGCCATATCGCTCTAATTTCAGCGAATGACTTGAACAGACATTGGTATGAGATGAACATTCGGTAGTGTTGTGTCAAGTTTGAATATAGAGTAAGGTCACGGTTCACCAGGATGTGTTTATGATGAAAACGTGACAACGTCCACGCATTCAAGGTTAACTTTACAGACGCTATGCGCTCTCAATTCATGCAATGGAATTATATGTTTATTTGTAGTCAATTTTCGTGCGAAATAAATATTCAGTTCGATATTAATCATCTTAAGCAAAATCGCGTGGGAAAATACAGTTCGAAAAAAATTAGTCCAACATTTCTACAATTTCGGGGCCTGTATTCCATAAAAGTGGAATCCAACTTCAAACGAGATAAAGCCTTAATAGGATTGTCAATTTACATGCAAATGTTTAATTCAGGATAGAAAACAACAACAACAAATCGGTAAAAATGTGGAATTTGGCGCTATATCTGCTGTAGCGAAGATTAAATCGGTGTTAGTCATACAGGCATCAAAGACAGGGCGGAAAAGTACAACGTACCGACTGCTCATTTGTGAAAGTTGCAACAATTCGAGAGGCAGTTCTATGTAACAAAAGCTATCATTTAGATATTGATAAGGTAGGTTAGGGTACACGTACCATTCAGTAGGAAAAAAAAACACGAAGCTTTAGAATATTGATCTAACAGAACGGATGGTTGGAGACCGATAAATCGACCCGGAATGTGCTACCATGAAGCATCTAGTGACCTAAATTATAAATACTGTCGGATGAGAAAAAAAAGATGTTTTCGTCCCTAGATCCACGATAACCTGCCCCATTGTTTACGTCTCCGTGTAGATATAGTAAACACACACGCTGATAATCAGTCGGGTGAAAAAAAAAAAAAAAAAAATTGCGGGAGAAAAAATAAGAGAAAACTGTCTCACCATTGTAGCTATTCGCAGCATTCGGTACGGGTCACGATGCGAGGTGTTTTCTCGTGGAAATTTCCAAACGTACTCCGCGACTGTTTCCGTCCGCCATGTTTTACACAGAAGCCTCGTCGTCTTGGTAGGTTGGCGCGCGCTCCCGACCCCCTAAATCAGGTGATTTGCCGCCGGAATACACGCAACGACTACGGCGAAAACACGCGGAATTTTTCAGTCAAATTTTTCTGTCCCGAGAAAGTCCAGACGAGTTTTATTATCTCATAAATTGTCTGATTTAGTGTCCCATAGAGGCAAAAAGTGTACATTTATTGCGATCACGTGACGTAACGCGGCCAATCACAAGCCGTGGTTTCTGTGTAAAAGTACAAATCATTCAACAGAGTTTTACCAAAAATCCATAAATTTTATTACTGCTTTTCTGAATAGATTGGCCTTGTGAAACTCATAAAATTCTCTTCTAATCGAGATATACGTACCGTTTGTTTGTCGCGTTTTCCCATTCCAGCCTCCCTGTCTTCCTAATTAGAGCCCATTCGGTGGAAGTCTTCTTCTTCGTTGGGTTACTATACCCTTCATTCGGATTACTATAGCCCCAAAACCCACGGTCTCTGCTGCCTCCAGCTGGAGTTACCTCACAGTCAGCTAGGTAGGGTTTATATATTATTATCCACAACATGACATTATAGTTAACATGGACAGAGTGACGTGAAAGGTTATGACTGCGGGCGCGGTTAGAATCCTCCAAATCTCGCGTCAAGTTCACACCACTCAACTAATAGGAGTGCGTAATTTTAAGCGACCTAACAACGGACTCTTCAATCAATCGACCTGTCCGTCATTTCCTTTCACGATTCGTATAAAAACAACAGAAACATATTTCTTTTTTTTCTTTTTTTTATCAAACTATGTCGTGTGAAGTTTACTTCTATGTGGTCAATATCGACTTAGAAGGGCAGAAAGTCCACGAAAGACGAAACCGCGGCATATTAATAATTTCGCATGTAACGATCATTAATTTACAGACGATTAATTCATACATTTGGTCTCCCTGTATCGGTAGCCTGATTAAAAAAAACTTTCCGGCCCAAATGTGGATTTGCGTTACCAACCACTTGTCTTAAGTAGCCAGGTCTCATCCATATTTAGGGGGGGGGGGGGGTATTTCCTCTAAAAGTCAAATTTGAAAAACGAATAAAAACAACAACAAAAACAACAAAAAAAACAGCAAAAACAAAACAAACTCTTAACTAGTAGCTGACTTGATGGATAGATACATATTTTACCATAATTTAGTTTATATTTAAATTGCATTTCAATTTATGCTAATTTTAAGACAAGTTGTCTGGACGTTCTTTGAGAATTGCTTCCATTTATAACTATTTACATATAAAACCACCGTGTATAGTTCATATATTCCAATGCTGGAACGCTTGGTTTTATTTACCATATCTTCTCATAAAAGACACTCCATACCCGTGAGCTTCTAATGAACAAATTTAAATATTCATGATTTGCGCGACCATCGTGAACTTGGATAAAGTATCAGTGTGACCCAGTTAAGCTTTTTACTGCCAAACACTTCAAATAGATATGTTCAGGGGGAGGTGAAAACACATGCGACTACTTCACAGATTATCTACACGCCAGTCAACAGTGGTTTATATGTCAGACTACTGTTAAGATGCTTATATTTTAAAATATTGAACTAGTATAAAGTGTAAACTTCGCCAGCACAGCGTAAAATACGGGTCTATTTTTATTGATTTATTATATTGTGTTAATGTCTGTTTTGTTTTGGGAGTGACTCCTCTGTTGTTCACATTGCCTCCGATTCGTGGGGCTCGCCGGCTAATTCGCTTCATCGTATCGTCACCGGTGTTTATCGTGCTGTGTTCACTTTCGAACATTCACGTCGTGTTCTATTATTCCCCCGCCCTACGTATTTTCTGGAGTCGGCTAGTTACAGGTCAGTGGGACAGAGGGCAATTGGGGACTGCCGTATAACATACACGACGCGGCATGCATTTTAAGTATGTTTACTTGCGTGGATTCGTTATATATCTATATTATAATCATTTTAACTCCATGTAGTGTATCGAAACACATTTACATCATTTTTGATAGCGCATCTTATACTCCCATACCTGTAGATTTTTCGCGGGTTGAGAAATAGGAAAGACAAGTAAATTTTATTTTTAAATTTGTAAATTCTATTCAATGCCTTGGATTTTCAACCATTTTTCTTTTGTTTCCTTACAAATCAGATAATCGTCTGCCCGTTTACTGAATGAACATCTCGCTTACACTCATCTAACGCAACGTTCCCTGCCAGTGTTTCGCCGCCATACTAGCCTCGCAGAAATTTTAATAAAAACATATTCATAAATTATAATATGAAATATAAAAATATTAATTTTAGAAACAGATAGATGCTGACATTGCGTACAGGTTTCGATAAAAAGTTTCTAATATAATTAATGTATATTATTTATTTTTAAATTTCAATATATCGCCAATACAAGATCAAAAGTTGAAAATAGTTTGTTGCTTTTTTATTTTGAACAACACTGGCATAATTTGAAATTGGTGGCAGGTACTGATCAAAGCTTTTGAGGTTCATGGAGATAAATGTATAACGTAGCTACTACCTGAAAGGTGCGAATACTTGACGACAGTAAACATCACTAAACATGAGGTGCCACCTGTTAAGAACCGGTGTCAAAATAAATGTATTTAATGATCAACACACGAGCAATATCGCAACGACTTGAAGAGCCCCCGACAACGAACTACACTACAGATGGAAACAAGAATAAGTGAATAAAAACGTCGCGCGAAAAAAACATCGTTCAACACAGGTATCGCTATCTGGTGTTGAACGCATTCTCGATTCAGACGGTAAAGTTGGACTTTTACCGCCACTCGCCCTACATCAAAAGCCTCCAAATGTTGTATCTTAATTTCACATTTTTTCAACAAAAAAATGCGCAATACATTTAATTATAGTTAATTCAATATCCCCCGATCCGTGCTGCGACATTATCACTGTCTTTGCACGGTTATCGGCGATTCACGGCGCCCGGCGCCATTTTGTGACCTGCCGGTGTCTAGCTGTGTCTGATTGAACGACCACACAGACAACAACCAAAGATTCTTACGCCTTCTGATAAAATATTTAACCAAAAATACTGATATAAGAGATTATGAGTTCACTTTCCTCTAAAATAAACTTAAAATATGTAGAACATTTCAGAAAAATTGAAAAATTCGATTGTTACGTTCTCCATAGTAAATCCAGCAGGTCGCGTTATCAATAACGCACAGTAAACACATTCTGTGTTGCTTGTTGAAATTTTATGTTCTGGTGAGATAGTATGCCATTCCTATAATATTGGGGGTCCCCTTCAACTCATAGCTGATATTTTACGAGGTCGAAATCAATAATAATATCAACAAATTAAAAATAATTTTCCTATAAATGTCAGCTGGCTTATTCGTGTCAGAACCAGGGCCACATTTCAATTTTCCGACGCAGCACAGTGTACTATATACTGGCGTTTACATCTTAGCGCATAGTTAAGGGAATTAGGGTGAAAACTAGCGAAAATAGGGACAAAATAAATACAGTTAATGTTAATTTTCATTCTAAATAATATTGCTTGCTGTAAAATATTCTCGGTTTTATCACAAAAGAACAGTCCGGGTGTTAATGTAATGCGAAGTTAACCGACGCCAACACCTAAGTGAGACGTTCTACATATAGTTGTTAGTTTTTAAGCCAATTGAAATTTGTAGTTTCGTTATTTTACGGAAGAAACAACTCACAATGCTTTTCAACGACAATCTACTGGTCATTTACATTCGTCTGGTCCAACTGAAGTATTGTTTTTGTTTCAATTCGCGATATTTCCAAAACCGAGTCCCATGTTAGTTAACAGTCAACGTCGTTACTAAGATACCTTTAAAGACAGACGCAAATTTTCAATTCTTTTTTTTTTTTTATATAAAATTGACAAAATCGAAAAACACTCTTTCAATAAAACAGCACTGTTTCACTATTCGTTTTTAACTAATACTCGTTAGAAAGCAGCGCGTGTGAACTGTACTATTGTATGTATACCTAAAATAAATTTCGTTTCTAAATAGTTTTTAAAATAAGTAATATGATATATATATTCGCAACCGGTTTAAATTATATCTCAATGACTATGAGGTATACACGTTAAAACAGGATGCGATGGCTGGCCTGATACACGGCAGCTGCACGCGATTTAGACATCTGACCGCGTTGCTTGTTCCGTCACTGATGTTCCCTCGGATTACTTTTACGCGAATCACATAAACTGTCCATTGCGATTCAGCTTCACCGAATCAATATGTTTCAACTTAGAAAGTGTCTCGTGAAGATGGCATAACCTACCGATATCGAAATAAGCGTTCATTAATTTTTCAGTGGTATAAAACGGTATTTAAAAAAAAAAAAAAACACGTTTCTATGAACTTGATTCCGAGCGACTTGTTGATTTGCGCGCAGGAAGACTTATCTAGGTAGTTACTGTTTTTCAGTTTAAGACATTTATTTTAGAGATTTCCTACTTACGTACGTTTTATATTGTTAAACCAAATCTTATGTTTCTCTTATAGTGTAGTAAGAGTCGCTCAGAATATATTGAAAAAATATTCCCGACAAAGTCAGATCACATAACACTACTCGATTTGTTTATTTTTTGCAAACTGACCCGGTGTGATGGTGGTGATAACGATTGCAGCTTTGAATGTATCTCGTGCTGGTGTTCTATAATTTCTGTATTTTGTCAAACTGAAAATAATTTGACTACTAGCTAATGTGATGAGTGGTCAGTTATCGACTAATCCACATGTGAAAACTTATGAGTATCTAAATATCATTGTATAAATAAATGCATTTTGTTAATCCAGAGAACATAGCGAAAATGTGGGATTTGTTTTTTGTGATTCCGTCTCATACGCCGCTCCATCCTGCAGAAACAAACCTTTAAAAAAAACACGTTAAACAACGTATTAAAGCAATAATTATAACAAAACTTATTCACATAGTTTTTGATTTGTATAAACTTTCTATTATTTGATTCTACAATACATGTATACGTCCAAAATTTGTCAGTGGGAACATGAAAAATAAACATAAATACAAGATATCTAAATAGTGATTTGCCGGCTTGACTCACCGCGGCGAGCGCCGCCATATTGAATACATCTGAGGGCAGGGCGCCACCATGAAGACAAAAATACATGAAATACACACATATGTACGAAATGTTCTCAATTTCAACTCAAAATATGCTTGTGTTTGAGAACAAAATACGCAAAGTAGACATTTTCTTCCGTTTATGATATACGATCTTCCCACATGCATGACGGAGTGGGCTTATCCTAGGCTGGATTATCGAGGGATTATCATTTTTGATCTAATTTAGAAGAAAATTGTTAGAAATCGAAAGTATGGATCATCGGCAATAACCATGGATGTAACACGTGACATTTAAACATATGCACAGTTATTTATTGAGAGGATGATTCTGTTATCTCGTTGGATCGATAACAATTTCTAGGTTGATTAAAAGAATGTGTTTTATGTAGTATCTGGCCTTGACGGTTGCTCACTCAGTAGACAGACTAGAAACGTCGTTTTGTCTCCAGTTGGCTGGGTTTTGAACGAAATTCGGAAAAGTGTCGGCCCGTACTTTGCTCCAGTCTACATGCATGCCGGGTAACCATGTTTTGTCTGCGATGTAATTGAATTTCCTACACGCCTT